GGAGGAAGGGAGAAAAAGCCCAAAATGATTTTTGTAGCGAGAGTTCTGTTTTCTCATCCTTGGTCAAACCCAGCTGCTGTCCTTGGTGATAGGATATGGACTGGAGATAAATTGCCTCTGAGTCCTGGAGCCCAGTGACAGCCAGCATGAGTATGTCGTGCTATCATGCTCTACACTTACTCAGACACTTTGCAGTGTGGGTGACAAGGATGCCTGTTGTGTTAAGATTCAAGGCTCTACAATTCTGAGCTCAGAAAACAGTGTTACTGGGTGTTAGGGCTAACTTGAGATACTTTCCTACACTCCCTTTTGAATGGGATGATGGGTGGGAGCTATAGGTTGAATTCAACCTCCATGCACATCACTCAAAGATAGAAACGTTTAAAGTATATTTGAATATATTTTTAAGCCTTAGAGTTACATTTATATGACAAAATTGAGCAACTCTTCAGGATGAAAGGATCACTCCCTTTGGCCAACAGTATCTTTTCTAGCCAGAGCCTTCTCCCCAGAGGGCTGAGTATTATTTAATGATCCTCTTAACTTGGAGGAATATTTTTTAATTAGAAGATCCATGGGGGTATTTCTTTATGCAGATTCCCAAAAGAGGAACAAAACCACAACTCCGTCCAAAACTAATACAGAAAGTTTAGGTCTCTCTGTATTTGCTGATCTATTCTCACTCACCTTGTAGTATTTGATCTGTGGGAACACAAGCACTCTGTACTCAACACCAAGATGTACCGAGGAAGATTTAAATGTACCAGCATAAAGATCCATACAGAAGTAAAAACTCTCTTGTCTGTCTCCAAGGGGTTCTTCAAGCTGGATATATTATTTCGGGGGTAAGCTGTGTTCATGTTTCAGTAATCTAATTTTGACTTCTTGTTTTTATGAGGAGACAGAGATAGTATATATGATATTTAAGCAAGCTAAATTTAAAACAGGGTATGTAGAGAGGTGCAAACCCAGGACCTGGGACTGCCCTGTGCACAGCCAGGACCTGATGTCATTCTGCTTCCTGATGACAATAATCATTTGGGCATGGTAAGCCCACGGCAATGAGTCTGAGTGTTGGTAGGTTCCAGCCTGAGCTCATTTCTTTCAATCACTCCACTAGACAGCATTCCAGGAGTTTCTGACTTTGGATTATCACAAGTAGTGCTGGATGAAGACCACTGCACGTCTTTTGGTGAACATGTGTATGTATTTCTTTCTTTTTTAAAGCAATCTCTATACCCAAATTGGGTCCCCAACTCAGGATCCCAAGATCAAGAATGAGATGCTCTACTGAGCCAGCCAGGCACCCCCTTGTGTACACATTTCTACTACGTATTCAAAAGTGGAATTGCTGGTAAGGACAGGTTGATGAAGCTAAGAAGAGACTATGCCAAAAATGTAAGAACATTATTCTTTATTCTGAAGGGAAGGGTTTGTTGAAGGCCCAGTAATTATTGAACGAGAGTCTTTGAAAGACAGGGTAGGGATTGATCCAGACAGTGTTTCTCAAACATTAATATGGACACAAACTGTTATAGGCTGAGTTGTTTTCCCCAAAATTCATATATCGAAGTCCTTACCCCTGTGCTCAGAATGTGACCATACTTAGAGACGGGGTCTTTAAAGAAGTGGTAAAAGTAAAAAGGAGATCATTAGGGTGGGCCTTCACCTGACATGACTGATGTCCTTTTAAGAGGAGGACACTTGGACACAGATAGATACAGAAGAAGGCCATGTGAAGATACAGAAAGGAGATAGCCATCCACAAGCCAAGGAGAGAGGCCTCAGAAGAAACCAAATCTGTTGACACCTTGATCTTGGATTTCAAGCTTCCAGAATCGTGAGTAAATAGATTTCTGTTGTTTAAGCCACTGGATCTGGGCTCCTTTGTTATGGCTGCCTTAGCAGTCTTGCTTAGATGCCGTCTCTGTTCAGTAGGTCTGGGCGTCGCCTTCCTGTTCTTATTTCTAACAAGACTGCATGTAGTACAGGTGCTGCTAGTCCGTGGACCACACTTCGAGTAGCAAGAATCTTAAGCACAGGTGAGGAACTTACCTTACATCTTTTTCTCTGCCAGGAAGGAAGGGAGTCCAGGAGGGCGAAGTAAACTCGTAGGTAGGAGATACAGGATCAATGTTGCTAGCAGACTGGCTGGGCACACCCAGAGGTGGTGTGTCTGTGTTGGTGTGAGGGAAGGAGGAAGCCCTGAATAATAGTGTTTGCTGGTTCCTGTGGAGTAAACACTCTCACCATGGCTGACTTCTATTACCAAGAGTTTGACAACTGGCTTGCAAAGTTCTTGGAGGTTTAAGAATGGCCTCTTGCCACAGGTAGGAGCCGCTTCCAGCTGCCCCCTGCCCAGGATGCTGAGGGGGCCTGCCTGATTTCCCATCTTCTCTCCTGGGACCAGAATGTGCTTCCTTTGTGGAGCCATGGATGAGAACTGTCATGGATACTTGGAGAAAATGAGGAGAGACTGGGACTAGAGCTGGTGTTCCATGAGTTGAGGGCATTGAAGAGAAGCCCTCACAGGGGAGGAGCGGATGCAAATGGAGATCTCCTCTCTGTTCTTCCTTCCTTCCCTGTGGACACACAGAATGAGTGACAGATCTTGGGGGACCAGATGCTAACTCCAGGGCAGGCAGTTAGCTTGGTATGTGAGGGCAAACAGGAATTTTGCTGCTGGGGGTCCCTGGGGGGCTCGGTTGATGAAGTGTCTAATTCTTTTGGTTCAGGTCATGATCTCAGGTTTAAGAGATTGAGCCCCATGTCCATTGGGGAGTCTGCTTGAGATTCTCTCCTCCTTGCCACTCCTGCTTGTGCTCTTTTGCTTCCCACCCCCCACACAAATAAATAAATAAATCTTTAAAAAGAAGAAGAAGTAGAAGTAGAAGAAGAAGAAGAAGAAGAAGAAGAAGAAGAAGAAGGGGAAAACCTCTGCTGGTCTCAGTTGTTTTCTAGCTGTTTTACTATTATGTCCCTTGGATAGGGAAAACATGCCAATTTTGGAAGAGTCTTGGTGAAGTATCTGTGCATTGTCTTGGACCAGAACCTACTACCTAGTTGCACAGGGGCTGTGGGGCTGGGAGACAGGTGGGGGATAATAAGTGTGTACATGGGCCCATGATGTTGTCATGTGGATTTTATGATTTAACTCTGCTTTTCCACATGGAAAAAGCACTGACATCTGAGAAGTTCAGATGCCTACTTGTCTGTCAAATTAATTAATTAAATCTTTAAAAAGAGAAAAAAGAAAATGAGCAAAGTATTTGAATTGATTTTTCTCTGACAAAGAGCCAGTAAATACATGACAAAAAAAAAAAAAAAGATGCTCAACATCATTAGACATCAGGGAAATATATAACTACAAGCCATAATGAGATAGCACTTTACACCCACTCTGACGGCTAAAATTAAAAAAGATAGAAACTGAAACCCACATACAATGATGATGGTAAAATTGTGCCGCTGCTTTGAAAAATATTTTGACATTTCCTCCAACGGTTAAATATAGACTTATTATATGATTTAACAATTCCACTCCAGGTAGAGACTCAAGAGAAACGAAAATATATGTCTACACAAGACTTATATGTGAATGTTCATAGTAGTATTATTCATAACAGACAAGAGGGCAACAAACCAAACGTCTACCAACTGATGAATGAATAATCAAAATGGATATATACGTGTATGCACTCAATATTATTACATTATCAGTCTCAAGAAGAAATGAAAGACAGGTAGTTGTTACCTTGAACCACCAAAGATCAACGTTGAGAACACCATGCTAAGTGAAAGAGGGGAGTCACAAAAGACTGTATCATATATGAATCTACCTACGGGAAATGCCCACAATAGGCAAACCCAGGCAGAATGGATTAATGGTTGCCAGGGGCTGGAGGAGGAGGGAATAGATAATAATCGCTAATGGGCACAGTGTTTCTTTTTTAGGTGATACAGTGTTCTGAAGTTAGGTGGTGGTGATAGTTGTACAACTATCTAGTATTAGTATACAACTAACTAATTGTATACTTTTTCTTTTAAAACAAGCGTATTTTAAGGTGTTTTTGTTTTTGTTTTTCAGAGAGAGAGAGCATTAGCGTGGGTGAGGAGCAGAAGGAGAGCGAGAAGAGGAGAGCCTGACTGGGGGCTGCATCCCAAGACCCTGAGATCATGACCTGAGCGCAAGGAAGGCAGACACTTAACCGACTGAGCCACCCAGATGTCCCTGAAATGTATACTTTTAAAGGGTGAATATTAGGGTGCATTAAGCGTATTTCCATAAAGCTGCTAATATTTTTTTCTTTTAAAGGGAGGCAGGGTCAGGTGAGTTCAGGGGTTAGCCCGTTAAGAGTATGTGCCTCGGTAATTACAGTTAGTTGCCTGGCTTGCCTCCCCCTAATTTATACTCACAGCCCTTCCTACTCTAACATGGGAGTCTGAGAGTAGAAAAGCCAGGACTTCTGCGTTCTTCGCGTCCTGCCTCTGCCCCCATCCCCGGTTTTTTCCTCCACTGATCGCCAGCGCAGCGGCCATAGCCGGATCACCCGCAGTTTGAAAGCCTTTGCTTTCTGAATCGGTTTCGGAGGCCACTGGCGGACCGCGGGCGCCTCCAGCCCTTTCAGTTGCAGGGTCCCCCTCGCGCGGCGGGGCCAGGGAGCGCCTGGGGGTTTGCCGAGCACCGCCCCCCGCCCCTGCGCCGCCCCTGCGTCACCCCCGCGCCGCCCCAGCAGAGGCGGAAGCCGAGAGGTGGTCTCGGGCCCTGGGGGCCGGCAGAGGCCTGCGGGTACCAGTCACCGGAGCGGAGACCTGCGGCGCGGCTGTAGAGGTCGGCTTGGGATCTGGCCAGGAGGGCGGCGGCGGGAGGAGCGGCGCGGTGCTGAAGGCGGCAAGTGGGGCGTTCTGGGGCCGGGCGGGGACGGCGGACCGGCAGCACCCCCGCGCTCCGGCCGGGAGACTGGACGCCAGGACGGGAGCGAAACCGAGCCGACCCGGTCCTCTCCCTGCTGACGCAGACAGAGACCGGCGCTCGGTGATGCAGCTCCTCGGTGGGTCCGGTGGCGCAGTTGCACGATGGCGCAATTGCTCGGTGGCACCGCCGCGGCTGCGCCCCTCTCCCTGCCGGTGCCTCTCGATCCCCGCTAGCCCCAGCCGCTGGCCCTCCGCGTAGGTCTTCTCTCCGCTCTTCCCACGCCTCTTCCCCGTCGCCCCGCTGCCCTGTAGCCACATTCCCACCCGCCCTTCTTCCCCACCCCTTCTCTCTCCTCGGGATCCGCGCAATGACGTCTCCCTACCTCTCCTCTTTCCTGCTAAAATCCCCAGTGTGCAGCGGGAATTCCAAGCACTTCTCAGCCACCCTAATCCTTTCAGGCATTCCACACAAATTCTTAGAGAACTTCCCGTTTCTCGAGCGCTCTTGCAGGCCCTCGCCCCGCAAAGCTTCCAGTCCAGGGGGATCACAGTGGGCCAAGCAGTAATTAGCGGGGGGAGGAAGGGGGTCGGGGGTTGGGCGAAGGGATCCCTGTCTAGGGCAGGCCTTGGGAAGTCTCTAGACGCCAGGATGTTCTAGTGCAGAGGAGGCTTGAGTGCCATTCATCAGCGTAGGGAGTACTGAGTTGGATAAACAGTGCTTTCAAAGGCCCAGGGGTGACTTGGAGGGAATGAAAGGCGGTCAGGGTGGGTAGAGGCGGAGGCTGGAGCCAGAGGTGGGCAGGTGGAGAGTAAGCCATGTAAACGAAGTAAGCTTAGCTTATTGTAAGGGCCCTGAGGTTTAAGAGGGTTGAAAGGCTCTGCTTTTCTATCGGAATGGAGTATGTGGGGCGGGGGAAGGGGAGGAGGGTGGCTCTGTTCTGAGGCGGCATTGGGGAAAGGGAGCAGGTGGTCTACACTCGGTGCAGGCTAGATAGAAATAGAGGGGTTCAAGAGCCATGTAGACAGCAGAAGGCAAGCCTTGGTGATGGGTGTGAGGGGATGAGGGCGGGAGAGGAGAAGTCTGGGAGGTCTCCCAGGGTGTGAGACCAGCATTTGCGAGTGTGAGGGTCTCTTTTCCACCCTCAGTTAATTCCCTAGAGAAGTGTGGCCTGGGGGGTGGGAGCGGTGTGTGGTCAGCAGACCTGCCTAGTCACATTTATGCTTCTGACCTCTGTAGCTATGCAGATTCCTGGCCCATTCTCAGTGGTTTTGCTCTTTCTTGGGCCCTTCTCTGTTCCTCCTGACCTCTCCATTCTGGTGTTCTCCGGGTCTGGGCTTCACCTCCTGGTGCACAGTTCACTATAGTGGCTTTTTCTGAGATTAAGGAGTAAAACTCCCAAATCCGTGTTTCTGAGTTAGCAAAAGAATTGTGGAACAAAAACATGCAGTGTCTTCATGTTTAGTTCTGAGGTCCGAGGGTCACGTGATGCTTAGCCACTAGCTAGCAATGGTGGGGCACTCTGAGTTGGGTTATGGGATATCTGGAGTTAACTGGCCATGGGGGTGCTGGTGAGGGCCGCTCAGCAGGAGAGCACATTGGCTGTCCCTTGGCAGCTGACCAGTCCTTGTAGATGAAAGGCCCTGGCCTCACAGCCAATTTCATACCCAGCTGTAGTCTCTCTCTTCACTTAGCAGCATCTCAGACATTTCTTAAGAATCAGCTAATAGATGGAGAGACTGTGATCTGTGGTTTAACAGAAACTCTCAGGAGTTCTCTCCATAAATGTATGGAAGAAGAGAGTATTATGGAGAAGACTGGGTTTCCCTGGTCTCTGGAGGCTGAGTGCTGTATGTCTGTGCCCGGGAACCAGTGCTCTTCATTTCCCCCAAGGCTCTCAGGCCAGTTTGATCTTCTGCCAGTGCGACACTTAGCTAATTATCTTAAAATTTGGACTTACTTTTTGGAGAGAGCAACAGGAAATGTGTTTTCCTCAACTTAAAATATTTATGAGCTTTTGGGGCGCCTGGGTGGCTCAGTGGGTTAAAGCCTCTGCCTTCAGCTCAGGTCATGATCCCGGGGTCCTGGGATCGAGCCCCGCATCGGGCTCTCTGCTCAGCAGGGAGCCTGCTTCCCCCTCTCTCTCTGCCTGCCTCTCTGCCTACTTGTGATCTCTGTCTGTCAAATAAATAAATAAAATCTTTTAAAAAAATTATGAGCTTTATTATTTAAAAAAAGTACAATTCCAAAATATGTGGAGGGTGTGTGTTGAAGCAGCCTTTCTCTTTATGCTCTGGTTCCAGACCCCGCATAATGGATGCTCTTTCTGAAGCAAATGACACCTTTGCCATCCAGCTTTTAAAGATACTATGTCAAGACAACCCTTCACACAATGTGTTTTATTCTCCTGTGAGCATCTCCTCTGCCCTCGCCATGGTCTTTCTGGGGGCAAAAGGAAACACTGCTGCCCAGATGGCCCAGGTAAGCCTGCGTCTCACCCAGCAGGTGGGACTGCCTTTTCCGTTGTTAGGGTCCATCGCCCAGCCTCGTACCTCAGGCTCCAGAACAGCCATAAAGCTGGATGGGAGGGGAGCCCAGTGTGTACACACACCTGTGCTTATTTCTGTCCAGTGGGGCTGCCTGGGGACCAAGACAAAAGGAGAAGGCTGGGAGTCTCCTTCACTGAGATTATTTTTCTCAACAGGTGCTTTCATTAAGCACAGAGAAAGACATTCACCAGAATTTCCAGTCACTTCTTGCTGAAGTGAACAAATGTGGCAGCCAGTACTTGCTCAGAATAGCCAACAGGCTCTTTGGAGAAAAGACTTGTGAATTCCTCTCGGTAAGTTGAGTCAGCAGAAGGATTAAAGTTGCAGTCAAAATATGGAGTCAGAAAGCAAGACCTGGGAGAGCTGAAAATGATGGTAAACATTTTTTAAAAGAAATCACAATTCCATAACTATGCCTTGAGTTATTTAAAATTGAATTCTCAAATTCATTTAGCTATTTTGGTTATTCATGGCTTAGTACTTACCTATTTATAAACTCTGATATTTTAGTACTTAGTAGACTAAGATATGACCATTTTTAAGAGATGTATACTCATTTTAATAAAATGTATGTAAGATTCCAATTTTCTTGGAAGTTAAACTTTTTTTTAGGAAGATAGCCATACTGAACGCTTTTCTCTCCAAAGACCTTTAAGGAATCCTGTCTTCGGTTCTACCATGCCGAGCTGGAGCAGCTTCCCTTTGCCAGTGCTGCAGAACAGTCCAGGAAACACATCAACACTTGGGTCTCCAAAAAGACTGAAGGTCAGAATCATATGTTATTATCTCCTCCTTCTTCCTTCTCCCCCCGCCTTCCCCTCTTTCCCCTGGTTCTCCTTCCCTCCCTCTTCTTCCCCTTGCTTTCCCTGCTGCTGTGATTGCACTAGTGTTTCAGATGGTCAGAGTCTGCTCACGGGCTGGGCCTCTTGGCATATTTCGACCTTGATGGACTCACAGTGGTTCTGATCAGATGCTCAGGGTTTTCAACCACAGAGACTTAATTTAGTCCATTCTCCTGGGACCAGAAAGACTGATACAAATGTCCAAAGAAACTCATAAGCCAGGTTTCTGGTTTAATAACTTACACTGAAATATACTTTCACTTAGCCTGTAATGTTCCCGTGTTGGGGGAACTCATCACCCCCATGGGAAGGAGGCTATTGGTTAAATCTTCTCTGAGACATACACTTGGGCTTCAAACTTCTCTGTGGACCTCCCTTACCACCACCTTTACCCTGACCATTAAGTTTACTTATTCTTAATTCTGTTGCAGCTTTCATGTCTTCTACGTACACTCCCTTACTTAGGTTTGATGAGCCTAGATTTGGTAGGCCAACGGCAGACGCTCTCTCAGGACTGATCAGTTCTACAGACTGAAATCATCTTTTGTTTGGCGTTGAGCCATATTCGTTTCTGTTTCACAGAGTGACGCATTCTGATCTTGGTGTGCACGTTCAGTGACGTTTGAACCATTGGGCACCCTCTGCACCAATTCCATTTAGTACCACTAGGAACACTCCTATTTCTGTCAATGCATCAGACAACAAAGAACAACAGATTGCCTTTCCTTAGAGAGTTAGCAGTTATTGCTACCATTTCTTCTTGGAATATTTGCCACTTACGGCATCTGGAGGCAGCAAATGACCAAAGATGCTCTTAGTTCATTGGAAAGGCATCTAGGGAAGAAGGGAGTATCTTTCACTTAAGCACCTCATCTTTTCCAGGAATGTCTGGTGTTTTGTTTAGAGGATCAAATAGTGAAATCTCTTCCACATGCTTCCAGAAGCTCCTCAAGGCACCCATGCTGCCCGTTTTCAGCTCTTTCCCCTCTGGCTGCCTCTGACATGTGGGCGTAGTTGTGGGATGTTAGCACTGGTTGTACCTTTGATGCATTAAACCAAACACTCTATTTTAGCACTTGAAATAACCCAAGTCCCTCCCAGCCCATCCCTGCTTGCCTTGTTATCCGACCTCGACCTCATGTCGTGTTTTCCTTTGAGTGATTTAGAAACATTTCACCATCATCGACCTTGTGGGTGTTCCCACAGCGCTGGTGACCTGACCATGAAAACCACTTGTATGTGTTGTTTCTTTCTGTACATCAATTGAAACTCAGCAAACTTGGAAACGAAAAGACTGTTGGGTTCTTGATTAATAACCAAGGATCAGCCAATAAGCCTTATCACAATTTATGCACCACACTTCTGTGAAAACCAACTGAATATATTCTCTACTTTTCCTGGAAGGTAAAATTCGAGAGGTGCTGCCAGGTAACTCAGTCAGTGCAAACACCAGGCTGGTTCTTGTCAGTGCCATCTACTTCAAAGGAAGGTGGGATGAACAGTTCAACAAAAGCTACACAAGGGAAATGCCTTTTAAAATAAACCAGGTGAGAGAAGCTTTCAAAAATTGTGCTAGTTTCATGAAGAAATTGATTGGAAAAAGTTAACTTTGTAAAGGCATAAATGATTGCTTAGAAATAATTTTGAAAGCACATTTCTGAATGAAATTTTAAAGAGGAGAGCACTGAGAAATAAAAATTATTTGCTGCCTCTGATTTTTTGCATTTTATTACTGCTCCTAATGCCTCTAATTTTGGCTGCATTCATTACTGCCACCTAGTTTTGGAAACTTCACATTTCCTCTAAGCCCAAGTTGCTTAGAAAAGCAGAAAGCAAAAAAACAAGTGCTAAGGAAGTGTGATATGTGTTTGTGTTAGGGGAGTGGAGAGAAGGGTGAATTTTCTTTAATCAGATAGCTGAAAATTTAAAATAAATATAGACTTGAATTATTTTTAATTAATCATTGTTAATCATTTATAATCATTTATAAGTTTTTAATATGTTAAAACTAACTGAAAAATATGTTAGTCTTAATATCAAAGTATAACTTCAGTTCAGGCAGGCATTAAAATAGCTTGCCAAATCTCCAAGCCCCTAAAAACATTGCATTTTAATGCAATTAGGAAACTTGTCCTGTACAGGTAAAACCTTTTTTGGAGGGGGCTGTAAGGTGTACTTTCCATAACCAGCCCTCTAGTTACAAAAGTGGGAGGGGAAGAACTTTTCTAGCAATGATTTTAGAAACTGTTTAGAAAACAGTTTAGAAACTGTTTTAATTTTTATAATAGCTGATCCACATCAAGTTTTAAAACTTTAATGAGTATAGTATGGCAGTTAACTTCTGCATGCATATACCTCCTATGTATTTTTAAAAAATCATTTCCAAAGATGGGGCAACTGGATTTAAATACAGGAGGAGAAATAGAAATCTTTCTACTTGCTGGCAGACTGCTTCCTGACGGGCTCTCTCCGTAAACCACCAGTCATACTGCTGTGAAACTCTTCAATCTCTTCCTCTTTACCATAAATACTTTTTTCCAGTTTAAGAGAAATGATTTTCTATTTCATTGTATTTGGTTCTATTGTTTCCTTAGATATATTTGCCAGGCATATTTAAAAACAATTTATTTATTTATTTGATATAGAGAGAGACAACTTGAGAGGGAACACGAGCAGGGGGGAGTGGGAGAGGGAGAAGCAGGATCCCCAATGAGCAGGGAGCCCAGTGTGGGGCTTGATCCCATGACCCTGGGATCATGACCTGAGCCAAAGGCAGATGCTTAACGACTGAGCCACCCAAGTGCTCCTTTGCTGGGCATATTTTACAGGAAGAAAATCTGATTTCCTCCTGTGGAAAATGCCGGGTGTCATGTTTTTTTTTGTTGAATAAAACATCTTTTTGCTGAGGCTAGAGCCGTACCCATTTGCCAGACAGAGATGCTCAGAACGATGATGGGAAAGAGTCAGACCTAGCATACGGACATTGTGTCCATCATGGGTGCTGGAAACACTCCTGGAGTCGATTATAGCTCTTTTGGAAAATTCTGTTGCCTCTTCCAAGAACCTGTTTTTAATTCCGTACTCATCTGTTCCTTCCCAACAGAAGGAACAAAGGCCAGTGCAGATGATGTTTCAGGAGGCTATGTTCAAGCTCGCCTATATTAAAGAGGTGCAGACCCAGGTCCTGGAGCTCCCCTACATGGGTAAGGAGTTGAGCATGATCGTTCTGCTCCCAGACGAGAACGTGGATCTAAGCTCGGTGAGAATCCGGGGGTGCCCTTTGCGCCCTTCCTGCTAGAACCCACTCTCCACTTTCAGTGTTAATGTTTACCTCTGAAGGCAGTGATGTGGGCAACCAGGCTGCAGAGCACGGTATCTGGGCACTCGAGCTCTGGAACCAAACTGTCGTGCAGGACCCACTTCTCCCCTTATTATCTGTGTGATCTCGCCAAATTCCTTACTTCTGTTTTCCCACCTCAAAAATGGGAATGGTGGTAACATCTGCCTGAGAGTTATTATGAGGATAAAGTGGGGGTGGTCCGAGTAACAAGCTTAGCACATTGTCTGGTACCTAATAAGCCCTGAATGAATGTGATCCGTTATTATTATCATAGTCGTTGTTGTTAGCATTATTTTATTTATTTTTTAAAGATTTTATTTGAGAGAGAGAGAGAGAATGCGAGCACACAAGAGCAGTTGGGTGGGGCAGAGGCGGAGGGAGAGGGAGAAGTAGACTCCCCACTGAGCAGGGAGCCTGATGTGGGGCTTGATCCCAGGACCCTGGGCTCCTGACCTGAGCCAAAGGCAGATGCTTAACCGACTGAGCCACCCAGGTACCCCTGTATTATATATATATATTTTTAAAGATTTTATTTATTTATTTGACAGACAGAGATCACAAGTAGGCAGAGAGGCAGGCAGGGAGAGAGGGGGAAGCAGGCTCCCTGCTGAGCAGAGAGTCCGATGCGGGGCTCGATCCCAGGACCCCAGGATCATGACCTGAGCCGAAGGCAGAGGCTTCAACCCACTGAGCCACCCAGGCGCCCCCCCTGTATTATATTTTAAATACCAAGAGCCTGAAACTCAGGAGAGCAGAGCCACAAACAGTCCCAAGCGGCACTCTCAACTCACTCTGCTTCCTTTCAGCGTGGATCCCCAGTGTGAGTCAACCACGGCCCAGCAGGTTCTAGGTGCAGGCGCTGAGGGGCACACACAGCACGCCCATTGTCCTCAGGGTCCTGTGGGATCAGAGCTGCAGGCATGGGCTTCTGTCTGTCCTTCCCACCTGACTGCACTTCTTCAGAATGTACATAGGATTGTGCCTCTGGCAAAAAGCTCCAGCAAGAGCCCTTTATTTTCCAGTCGTTTTTCTTACCAGCAATGCCTCATCTTCAAAAATAAGTACAGTTAAAAGAAAAGAAAAAAAGACAGTGAAAGTCAGCGGGGCATTGAGCGTTGTCAGGATGAACGATGTCTCACAGATAGTGTTCGGTTAGAAGAGGCGCAGCCCTGTTTCTGTGCCTCTGCGCTGCCTCAGGTGCTGGGCAGGGGAGCCGTGGCTGGAACAGCACAAGTCCGAGATCTCACAAATTTCCCGGCGCAGAAAGGTGCCCGTGGTCCTGTGTGACCGCCACCACCCATGTCAGAGAGGACGCGCATGTCCATATGTACAGAGGTATGAGTTTGAATGTCTAATTCTGGTCTTTCAGGTGGAAAAAAGTCTCACTTTGGAGAAATTCAGAGCGTGGACCCAGCCAGACCGGATGCAGAGCACGGAGGTGGAAGTTTCCCTTCCGAGATTTCAGCTGGAAGAGGATTATGACATGGCATCTGTGCTCCGGGGATTGGGAATGGTTGATGCCTTTCAGGAGGGCGCGGCTGACTTCTCAGCCATGTCAGGAGAGAAAGATCTGTTTCTGTCCCAGTTCCTACACAAGAGTTTTGTGGAGGTGAATGAGGAAGGCTCGGAGGCCGCGGCCGCATCAGCCATCGTGGCTGTGGAATGTTGTATGGACCCTGGCCCCACGTTCTGCGCCGACCACCCCTTCCTTTTCTTCATTAGGCACAACACAGCCAACACTATTCTGTTCTGTGGCAGGTTTTCCTCTCCGTAAGGGTGAGCATTTCCCTCTTTCTGTGTCCTCCTGTCCTGCGCCACAGCCCCGGGAAGATGGGCCCGTGAAGCCCAGTGCAAAGGGGAGGGCAGATTCCTCCTGCATCTCCGTCCCATGCTTGTCCACACCCAGCCGTCCCCATCCTGACCACTCGTCGGCCCTACTTAGTCAAGATCATGGGACAAGAGACCTTAATGATCCCCTGTAGTATTTAAAGTACACTCCGAATCCCATAGGATCGAATGTCAGGTTTCCCTAGATGGCCCCAGACTTATTCCCCCCTCATTCCATGTGTAATTCATTCTAGTGACACTGTTCTGCCTTGTACCTCAAATCCTGTTGGCAGACTTGCCTTAGCCTGTTTCAGTGGTAATAAATGCTGCTAGCTAGAACTACTGTTTTATAGTCTGCCTGATGCCTGGGCTTTTTAGAAAGCTGCTTTAATGCACATTTTATCTTCGGTTGACGTTCCATGTATCACCAAGCAGGTGGCAAAAAGGACCTCAGGCATTGGAGACAAAGGGGTGGAGTCATGATGTCTTTGACACCTGGTCTTTCCTACCAGAGTAGCCAGAGTAGCTTCTATGACAGCCAGCTTGGACAAGGTGATGTCCTTAAACTTATCCTGTGATCCCCTTGAAGGGATTCCCTTGAAGAGATCCCCTTGCCTGCTCGACTTTTGTTTTCTCCACCTCCAGCCCTAACAAAAATCCTGCGCAACTCTTAAAGTTCATTTCTGATGGCATCTTCCCCAGGAATATTTTCCTTTTCTGCATAAGCAGATGTGCATCTTTGAACTCTCAGCGCATACTGAGGGAGGGCAGTTCTCTTACGGCGGTTGCTTTATTTATTAATCATTTGTGTTCTCCAGCTAGAACTTAAATTCCTCAGGGGTTGGGACTGTATTTTACATGTCTATGTGCCATGTACAATACAGTGATAAGTAATTTGATCAGAGATGAGCTCTGTAATTTTTGAAGAAGTGTTTAGATATCAGTGACATTATTGGCGCCTTTTTTTTTTTTTAAAGATTTTATTCATTTGAAGAGAGAGAGCAGAGAGAGTGAGAGAGCGAGAGCATGAGCAGTGGGGAAGGGCAGAGGGAGAGGGAGAAGCAGGCTCCCCACTGAGCAAGGAGCCCAAAGTGGGGCTCGATCCCAGGACCCTGAGATCATGACCAAAGCCAAGGGTAGATGCTTAACTGTCTGAGCCACCCGGGTAGCCCTGTTGGGGTCTTCTTAAAGAATTTGTTATTGAGGTGAAATTCACATAGCATAAAATTAACCACTTTAAAGTGAACAAAGCAGTGGCCTTTAGTATATTAAAAATGTGCAACCACCACCTTTATCTAGTTCCAAAAAATGTTCATCACCCCAAAGGAAAACCCTGTGCAGTTACTCCCCCTTCTCTCCCATCCAACTCCTGGGAACTGCCATTCTGCTTCCTACCTCTATAGATATAACGACTCTGGATACTTCATAAGTGAGTTATATACTATATGACCTTTTGTTTCTGGTGTTTCCTCAGCAGGACACGTTTGTTCATGTTGTGGCGTGTACTTCACCTCTTTCCATGACTGAATAATATTTCACCGTAAAGCCGTAGCCCAGGATTTGTTCACCCACTCGTTCGTTGATGGACATTTGATTTGTTTCCATCTTTTGGCTATTGATGAGTAATCTTTCTACAAACGCGCATGTACACGTATTCGTTTGGGTAGCTGTTGTGTGAAGGTCCGATTTCTTCACATCCTTGTCAGCCCTTGTTATTTTCCACTCCTCTTTTTAAAACTATTATGGCCGCTCTAGTGGGTGGGAAGTGAAATGTCATTATATGATTTATTTGCATTTTCCTAATGACTAGTAGTGTTGAACATCTTTTCCTGTGCTTCCTGCCCATTTGAATATCTCCTTTGGAGATAAGTCTACTCAAGTCCTTTGTCCATTTTTTTCATCGGGGTGTCTTGTATATTTTTTCCCATTGTGTAAGTTATATTTTCCCTTTCTTGGTAGTGCCCTCTGATCCACAAAGGTTTTTAATTTCAGTGACATCCAGTTTATCTATTTTTTATCCATTTTTATCTATTTTTAATCCAGTTTATCTATTTTTTCTTTTGTTACTCAGACTGATGGTTTCACATGTAAGAGTCCTTTGCCAAATCCAAAGTCAGGAAATTTTGCAACTATTTTCTCCTAAGATGTTTATGATTTTAACTCTTATATTTAGAATGTTAATCTGTTCTGATACATATGATATGACATAGGGGTCCAACTTAATTTTTCTTTTTAAAGATTTTATTTATTTATTTGACAGAGAGAGATCACAAGCAGGCAGAGAGGCAGGCAGAGAGAGAGGAGGAAGCAGGCTCCCTGCTGAGCAGAGAGCCCGATGTGGGGCTCAATCCCAGGACCCTGAGATCATGACCTGAGCCGAAGGCAGCGGCTTAACCCACTGAGCCACCCAGGCGCCCCCCAACTTAATTTTTTTAACTGCTTTTGAATTGAAAAAGGATGTTGATAGTAGATTAAAAAGATAATATCTAAACAAGTGATAAGGTGAAAAATTATACAATTGGGGTATATATATATACACACACACACACCAAATCCATTCCATGAAGGACACCATGATCAGACTGAAAGAAGATATTATAAAAAATCAGTAAGGAATTAACACTAGGGTATACAAAGAAATCCTGCAAATCAAAGAGAATAAGATAGTCAATTAAAAATCAGAAAAATACGAATGAAATACCATGAGCTACTGCTCTACATTCATCAGATTGGTGTCAGAAATTTGGATACTGTGCAGCGTCATCCAGGAAGTAGGGAAATTTAGGAGCACTTGTGGGAACAGGAACATTTGGCCCAGTTAGGAAGCATTCTGGCAGTGAGCTCTATTGGTGTCTGCTCTGGGCTCCAGCAGGCTTGTTTCTGGGTGTGTGGCCCAGTGATGTCATGGCACAGGCCCACAGAAGCACGGTCACGAGGGTGTTCACTGCAACTTTATTTATGTTGACAATGAGTTGGAAGCTATCTAAGTGCCCTTCTCAGTGGGAATAGATAATGAATATGTGGGCATACTTTGTGATATTATGTAGGAGTTAGAAACTAAAGTACACAGTAGGTGGACATTCAGTCTTATGGGTAGATGATGTTGAGTAAAAAAAATATATATATACACACACACATATACACAATATATATATATACACACACACACATAGTTTAACAACTTACAAGTTTTACTTATGTAGATTAAACATGTTTACAGTATATATTATACAAGAATATATACCTGTTGTATTTCTTTTACTGCTGAGAAACTTCATAAATTTTGTTATGGTATTTTATTAATGAACAGGGGTCTTTTATTCTTTTGGTCAAATCTAGGTTTTTCCTTAGTGATTTTGACACTGCTTTCAATTCTTAAAAATACTTTCCCATCGAAGCCCGTTCATTTTCTTCTAAACTGTTATGTTTTTGATTGATTTAACTGTTTAATCCATCTGACATTTGTTTTTGTGTTGTTGACATTCGAGAGAAAATATTATTGTATTTATTTACAAATGGCCAATTTATCACTTGTAATAATAATTAAATAATCTGTTTTTCCCCAGTGTTCATGTGATTTTTCTCAACGTCATTCTTCAAGGTGAACATCAGAATACTTTTGCAATACTCAAAATAATGTTTTTAACTTTGGTATTTTTTGGAGGGATTAGTGTGACATTAAACATAAATCCGGGGATAAATTAATCTATTTACAGAGTTTAGTCTTGTTTGGGAAGATGTGAGGAGTCTCCATTTATTCAAATCCTTTTTCATATATCTTTGTTTCTCTCTATATATATGTATATAGAGAGAGACTGAGTTTTGTTTTTCTTATGGTTATTTTTAATTTTTATTGTCATTGTAATAATTTTATTTTTAAAGATTTTGTTTATTTGACAGAGATCACAAGTAGGCAGAGAGGCAGGCCGGGGGGGGGGGGCGGGGGGGGAAGCAAGCTCCCTGCGGAGTAGAGAGCCTGATGCGGGGCTTGATCCCAGGACCCTGGGATCATGACCTGAGTCGAAGGCAGAGGCTTAACCCACTGAGCCACCTGGGCGCCCCTCATTGTAATAATTTTAAGTGAGAACATTTTTCCCTCATCTGGTTATGGGTGACATATAAGCTAACAATTAAAGTTTAATACATACTAAAGAGAAACACTGTTTCTCCCTCGCTACTAAGTATCTCTGACACCAGTTGTGTGGGTTTTCCACACCAAGCAATTTCTCCACTTCTCAGGGACACCAGTTGGGTGCCTTACAATTTTACTCTTTGAATTTTATTTTTTCTGCAACAGGAGAAGAATTTAATTCATTTATATTATGCAATACTTTGCAGAACATTTCTTTAAATTGTGGAAGGTCTATATGCAGTTCCTGAAAAGATCATGAAAATGAATTAAGCGAAAAATACAGCTTATAGTCCAATGTGCCTAGCACGACGCACACATTTATATGAATAGACCCTGTAGGTCTACACGCAAATTCATGTCTGTGAGTCTCTGGAAAAAGGTTTAAAAGGCTAAGCCTTCACTGCTAACAGAGGTTATCTCTGGGAAAGTTTTGGAGGGGGAATGGGAGGAAAACTTCTAGTTTTTACTCTCTCTGTCTCAATGTTATTTAATCCTTCTGCTAGGAAAATCTAATCCTGTGATCTGCACGTAATTCAAAGGAAGAACTCTAGGATATAACCCCATGTGTGATTCTGAGTGACATGGTTTTGAAGCTGGAATAAAATCCACATAAACAGTTTTAAAATATTTTATTCTTGGCTTTTAGAAGAAATTTTAATAAGAATGTCAGTCAAACTAGTACCGTCCTCTTTTCATGAATAAGGTTCATTTCTGGCTTTTTAAAAAAAGTATTTCTCACAGATTTATTTCCTGTTCTGTGAACTGACTTCATATACTTTGCCCCTATATATTTCCGAGGGTTGTGTGGATGAGGATGGGCAGTTTCACACCGCCTTTAAGATAAAGATTAAACACCCTCTTAGAGCTAACCAGTATGGAACTGGGTTGTGCTCACGCCAAATGTACATGTCAACGCCCACATCACCCCCACCAGTACCACAGAATGTGATTATGTTGAGACATCGAGCCTTTAAGGAAGTCATTAAACTTAAATGTGGTCAGAGGGGTGTGATCCTAATCTGACATGATAAGTGTCCTTATAAAAAGAAGAGGGCAGGCAGCTGGGTGGCTCAGTCAGTTAAACATCTGCCTTCAGCTTTGGTCATGATCTCAGTGTCCTGGGATCAAGTCCCACATCAGGCTCCCTGCTCAGCCGGGAGTTTGCTTCTCCCTCTGCCTGCTGCTCCCCCACTTGTGCTCTCTTTCTGACAAATAAATAGTCTTTTAAAAAGAAGAGATACAAGGACAAATAAGCACAGAGAAAAGGCCAGCCGTCTGCAAGCCAAGGAGAGGCCTTAGGAGAAACCAGCCCTGCTGACCTCTTGATCTCTGACTGACTTCTAGCCTCCAGAACTGTGAGAAAGAAATGTCTGCTGTGTAAGCGCCCAGTCTGCCGTATTTTATTATGGCAGTCCCAGTGGGTTAATACAAGACGCTTCCTAATTTAACCCACTCTCCTGTCCATCCTTTGCCTTTCTCCAAGGACAATCCTCAACTCTAGCCTGACTAAATTATTTTTACTTTCCTGATGATTCCATGCTCTGTCTTTCCTCTCAGGTTTCATGCTTGCCCATGCTACCTCGAAAGCCTTCCTCCCCACCCATTCCCCTCTCTTCACCTCCCTCAGCCCTAACTCCCCATCAGCAGCTAACACTCACTAATTCTTGTGGGTGAAATACTCTGCCTGTGTGTTTAATTCTTTGAAGCTGAGGCATTTGGTGCACTGAATGGAAATGAACTATTCACCAACCTGCTCGAGATTGTAAGCTCCTGGAAGGCAGGCATGTCCCACAGTTGGACTCCCAGCACCCAGCACTCAGCACCTAGCCACACAATTTACACGAGGCCTAGAACAAGGGTC